GGAGATAATGCAAATTATGAATATATTAAAACCTCATAGTGATAAAGGAGCAAAAAGGCCTAGGATTTATAGATTCGATGTAGAAATCTCATTAAGTGGCAGAAAAAAATATGGTTCAAATGCAGGATCTGAAATTGAGACTCGGCTCTTCTGCTTGCTTGCTGTGTGGCATAAACAGATGGCATAGTCCCTCTGGAACTTAGTTCCTCCATCTGTATAAACAGAATAGAGGCATCTGCCCTGAGCTCCAATGAGAAAATGTTTTCACTACAAGCTGCAGTTTCCAAGTACCTATCTATGATATAAAGTGAGGATCCACTATAGTTTCCTTCCATTTCTTCCCCTACATTTAAAAATACCCTGAATTTCAACAACAAACTCTTGCAACTAAGATTTCATTTTAGTGCCACCTCACCCCTTCAAGGAAGAACTACTGTTCTCATGGTGGAAATGAGCAAACTGAGAGGGGTCCACAAAGTGAATTCATAATAAAGACAAAATCTGATATATTTGAAGGAGGCAAGCAGAAAGGAAAAATTGATTTTAAGTCAAACTTTTCTACTTCTAAGCTGGGTGAACTTGAGAAAGCTATCAACATTCTGAGTCTTACATGTAAAGTGGAGGTCATGAAATTTATCTTACACAGCTTCTATGAGAATCAAGCAAGAGAATAAATTAAGCAATAGAACTTTAAAAAACTATAGGCAGAGACGGATCTAAGATGGCAGACTAGAAACAGACTAGTGACATTTCTTCCCCATGGACACAGTGAACCAGCACAGATTGGAAGAATTAATTGTTGAAATGGCCATCATACCCAAAGCAATATATAGATTTAATGTGATCCCTATATAAATTAAAATGGTATTCTATAAAGGGCGAAATTTCCATAAAAGGAAATACAGACATTATTGAAATTTGTATGGAATCACAAAGGACCCCAACAAGCCAAAGTAATCCTGACAGAAAAGAAAGGAGGCATTATATTTTCAGACTTTAATTATACTACAAAGCTACAGTAATAAAAATGATATGGCATTGGAATAAAAATATAAATACAAATCAACAGAATATAGAGCCCAGAAATAAACTCACTCTTACACACAAAAACAGTGGGGGGAGGGAAATGCACTGGACTTTGGTGATGGCACATGGGTGATTTGATGATGGGAAGCCCAGGGGAATTAACAACTGAGATGGGAAAAGACACAAAATAATGTAAAAATAAACTATTATATTATTTAAAAAAAACAGAAAACAGAAAAAAAAGTTGAAATATCCAATTCAGGAAAAAAGAAAGCCTTAATAACAAACAAAATCAAATCAAAGTAAGTTTTTACTGAAAAAAATTTTCTTTAAAGTGTATCCAAATGGAAGTAACTGAAAACTCTCTTGATCAAAAGAAAGATCAAACAAAATTTTAGTGCACTGCTTACTGGCAACAGTTTAAATAAATCTGAGTCTATTTTTAGAGCTTAAGAGTTAAAACAAATCATCAATCAAAATTTATAAAGTACAATAAAAAGGTAGGTAGTTGTAAAGTATCATTTGATAGATAATTGACAGATAAAATATCAACTACAAAGAAAAACCATAATTTATTTATCTAGTCCCTTATTTAACAAGCTTTTTAGGTTATTCCAGTATTTTACTACTATAGATGGTGCTATGCTTCTTTTTACACATGGGTGAATATTTGTACTTCACAACTGAACTGATCATAGCTATGAGAACAAATGAAGTAAATCAAGTAATAGAAAAAGTTTTAAAATATAGTGTTAATTGAAAATAGGTGCCAAATAGCATATATGAGTGTATGTCCATCTCAAAAAAAGGGATCAATAGATAACATAATTTTTTACCTATTTGACTTAAATTTAAAAAATTCAAAAATTTGAAAACACCCCCATTGACCAATTTGTAAAAACAGGCTTTTCTTACATGGGAACATAAACAGGTAAAACCCTGATGAGAGCAACTGGACCACAATTACTGAAATTACAAATGTACATACTTAGGAGAACTAGTTACAAAACCTAAAGGTTGTAAAAAAGAATGCATTAAAACATGAGAAAGTGCTCTACATGTTGACGTGAAAAGATCTCTAAAACATAAATTGAAAAAGCAAGGTGCTGCATACTTACTTGTAAAGATAATATTCTGCATGGTCTATCTCTTCTCTTGATGAAATGCCATCCACAAACTAAAACACAGAAAAAGAAACATTTGATTGGATATAAACCATGCCCTATACTGGACTTAACTCACATACTGACCTTAAGAAACAATGTGTGGCCCTCCCTGGTGGCGCAGCGGGTTAAAGCACAGCACTGAGAATCTAAAAGCCGCTTCCGCATGAGTTCTATCCCCGCCTGCCCCGGAGGAG